TGTTGTTGTTGTTGTTGTTGTTGTTGTTGATAGCTTCCCAAGTGTTATCAATAACTGCTATTCAAGTCAAAGATATAAAACGTGTAGAGCGTCCATTGCTCTAGTTTGGTGCAATATACATAAATATCGCAAAAGAAACACAGTGATCAATATTTTAAATGAAGTTTTTATAAACTTGAATTTCAAGGGTGCTAAAATAAGAAAATGCATTGACATCAAATATGCAGCTAGCGTTAATGTATAGTGAACTACTACTTGAACTTTAATACCGGCTTATGCTCGCGAAATTCTTCTTGTTTCACAACAAACCTTACTGATAAAGGAATGTTATGCCCACTGCTAATTTTAGTAGTAAAATCTCACAAAAATATGAGTAAAATGGCATTAGACTCGAGTCTGATGCCTAAATCTAATGGCGGATTTACCCCAAAGTTTATACAAATTAATAGTTGAATAAGGGAACTTTGTGTGTGTGTGTGTGTCTCCATTAACAGAAAAGTATCTTATAAGTTAAGATGACTTGAACATTTAGAAAAAATTCTCATAAAAATCTGATGATAGATTTAAGTTTACTTTCAAAAATATTATATTTATTTTATTTTATTTTTTTTTTGAAAGAAGAAGCTAATATTATATAAAAAAAAATTTGCAAACGATGTGCTTGTAGAAACAAAAGGAATAGCTCTTACGAAAAAAATAGTTGGAGGTGGAATAATAATGTACATAAAAAAAAAGATTAAAAAAAAGTTTAAAAAATTAATTTAAATATAAAAGCTTGAATAATTGGGAAAAATCTAAGGCGGCCCGTAGGGAATTTAGAGAAACAATTTGTGATGTTAAGATTTTAGATTTTAATGAAATTTATAATAGATTAGATACTAAAGATGATGAAAGATAAATGTGTAAACTTGTCAATCAAATAGATAAGAAAAATAATGATTCAGTTCAAGTACAGTGTATTAATGATAAAAAAAATTACTTGAGGATGCTCAACATAACTGAATAGATGTTTCGATAAAATTTTTAATAAAAATTGTGAAAATACGATCTATTTTAGTGATTTTAATATCTTAAAAAATAAGAAAAATTTCTATTTCCACCGTCACATTAATAAAATCGAAGTTGAAGAGAATTTAAAGAAAATAAATATGAAAAAGTAGCAAGACCTAATGATATTCTGATAGAAGTATGAAAATTTTAAGAGATATGAGAATTTTTTGGCTGACTAAACATTTTACTATTATTTTGAAAATTAAAATGATGTCTGATGAGTGGAAAAATAGTTTATTGATTCCTACTTTTAAGAACAAAATCAAAGCAGATGAGTGTACAAATTATAGAAGAATTAATTTAACGAGTCACACATTGAAATTATGGGAAAAAAAATTAAACATAAGTTAGGACGTGATACAAAAATTTCCAAAATCAGTTTGTATTCATCTCAAGTAAATCTATTATGGAAGTTGTACACTTATTGAGAGGATTAATGAAAAAGTATAGAGAGTAAAAAGAATTTATATTTAATTTTTGTTGATTTAGAAAAAAAACTTTTGATAAAGAGAAATTTTTTGGAGAATTTTAAAAAAAGAAATGTATTGATATTGCTTATATTCAAGTCATTATAGATATTTATACTAGAGTTTTTAATTAAACAAGTATTTTCTTATTTCAGTTGGATTACATCAAGGACTGGCTTTAAGCTCATATTTTTTTGTATGAATGTTCTTACTGAACATTTACAAAAGGATGCACCTTACTGTATGTTTTTCATTGATATTCTTCCTAGGAATAAGACTATAGAGCGTTCATAAAAAACTTGAATTATGGAGGTTAACTTTAGAGACTAAAGGCTTTCATTTGAATAGATTTAAA